CAACATTTGGAAATGCAGCTATGACTTCACATCCAATTTCAGTACACTCAGTAAGAATTCAAAAGAAACTGTAATGGCTCTGTTGTGCTGATGGTCTAAGATTTGCTATGTCATGCAACAGGGAAAATCAGTAGATTGCCACTGCTGCTGGTCATCCTAATTTTAGGACTAGAAATGCTGGGAAGCAGTACCGGAAGCATTGTTTTAGGAATCCGGATGTCATTGAACAACACTGATGCTGCAGCTACCGAAGTATCTAGTTTCCAGCTCAGTTTCTCTAAGCAATACAGGCAGGGAAACATGGGCAGGCTCACACTTGCTTCCTGGATGTAGGTAGACTACAGTATGCCCCAAACGCCTGTCCAAACCCACCTTCAATCAAAGGGCTACACAAACCAAACTCTGCTGGCAGAAGTCATATCTATGCCTGGCTTTCATTTTTCTGATGCTAGCAAAGGCAGCAAGCATTCTGGTGTATACTGAATTCCAGAGGATGTAGAAGTTGTAAAGCCATTTTACCTGTAATCCGAAGCACAGTGACATTTCTAGCAACTGGCCGACATAACCAACAGTTTCTATGAGTCACCCAGACAGATACAGGAAAAATCCCAGGAAATTCACCGGTCACATTAATCATGGAGTTAAACCGCTGCTCGGATTTCTCTGTCAGAATCAGAGGAGCATAAATCCAGTTGAAGTGATACAAGTTTGATGCAATACTGTCATTCTTCGTACTTAGACTGGCGTGAACAGTAGCTTGAGCTCCTGTTGTGATGGGACCATTGTTGGTTATTTCCAGACCATACTCCTCTGTGGTAATTAGAAGAAAAAGATCCCAAATCTTGTTGTATTGCATTTTTAACTTGTTTACTTATTTACACACTTTAACTAGTCAGCTGTAGTTATGTGACTCACAATGGCTCTCATCCCAGCAAAGACTTTACCACCTGGTGGGTTTTTTTAACATTCAAAAACTTAGAACAGAAACTGTTGCACGTATGTATGAGTTCAAACAAGTAGCATTAAACAACACATTAGAATGGGTCCTAGAAATGTTAATAGTAGAAGGGAGGTTCAGATTCGAACATCTCAAAAACTTTGATGAGGTTTTATAGGCAGAGCTGGGTGCTGGCTGTAGATTCAGTGTCAGTAATGATGTAACACAGTCACTAAACTTCCAGCTACTTGAAGAAAGTCAAGCTCAGGTCTAATCTCTGTCCTAAAAAAATGAACTTTCAAACTCAGGTAAGAGTTCATCCAATAGATTCCTTTGTCAGCTCTGTTGACCCACACATCTCCCTCACCTTCCTCCTAACTGAATAAAAACCCCTCCGTACCAGCTGCTGCTCCTTCTCTATATAGGATCCACCAACGACTGCCTTTTCCAGGAAAAGACCAAAAATCCCAGCATAAATGAAACTTGTACCATGCACTAGTGGCAGATCAGTTTACTCCAGAAGGGCATAACCAGGGTTCTAGCTTTCTGACTTTCACGTCTGGAAACAGCAAGGCGCGAGAAGCGTAGGACATGTGATACTGAGCCATCCCCGCTGCTCTGGATCGCTCACTGTCACCTTCCCTGCCATGTTTCCGCAAGTTACTCACTTCAGCTCTTACAACTACTGCAATGGGCAGAGTGTGAGCCACGTTTCGTTTTATGGAAACGATACATTCAGGTTTGTTTTTTTTTTTAAAAAAAAGCAGTGTAACAAGATTAAATGACCTGCATGTGCTAAAAACCAAAAAAACCCCAACCCCAAAACAAAAGGAAGGGCAACAACCACTGAAAGCTGTGAATTGGCGCAGAGCCGGGAACAGGCTCTGGTGGTTTGCTTCCAATACGGAGCTTGTTCCCTCCCTGCATCAGCACTCTGCCTGGCTACCCTCACCAATGAGCGACGGGGCAGTGCTGGGCAGAGCAGCATAGCTGTGGGGGTTCTCATGCTGGTGACTTTCCTTCTCCTCTCTTTCAGCAACCACCAGATTGGTGGCAGGGACCTGAATCTCTGAGCTTCAGAAGCTGCATTTCTCAACCATTCGTGACCTGCAAAATGTGGAGGGAGCACTGGAGTCAGCTAACCCCTGTACTGCCTTTTCTGCACCGATCAGCTTGGGATTGGGTGGAAGGAGAACCCGAAGCATCTGCTTAGTGTCCCCATTTTTATTCCACAGATCGCAGGTGCTGAGCAAATCTAGTTGCAAAAGGACTGTGAGAAATAACTGTAACATGTCTGATCAAGAACTCCCCTGTTCCCATTTCACAACACAAGGGATGGCCACGAGTTCAGATTTTTGAGTTAACAGAGAAATGCTTGTGATTTGATGAAATCTGGCACAGAGAGGCTGTCGGGTCTCTAGAAGATTCAGGCTACCCTCTGCTTTGTTTCAGCACAACTTGGGAAAAAAATAGCCAGCTACCTCACGCTTATCTAGCACTTCTCCTTGGAGGTTATCACAGTGCTTTGCAAACCAGGGCCATACTGAAGCCCAGCAGCTGCAGCAATTAGAGATTAAGTGGCTAACCCAAGGTCACCCAGTGAGTCACCGACGGAGCAAGCCACTTCATCCAATTCTGGGATTTCTTCTACCTTTCCGACCTCTCCTTGCAGAACGCAGTGCAGCGAGGGCCAGAGGCTGCCCAGGTGCCTTGTGACCCACGGCGCTGGGTCAGCGGAGGAAGCAGGAGGGCAGCTTTGGGGTTAGGGCGTGCGAAGCAGAAGGCTGGCTCCCCGGGGTGCCCCAGCTCCACTGCAGCACCAAGGTCGCAGCGCCTGAGAATAAACTCTGAGGAGGCGAGAGGG